TACCGCCACGACCACGTGGTCCGCATAGGAGTGACTCTGGCAACGCCTACAGCGACGGGTCCGACTAGCGGTGTACCAGAGCCGGATCGGACCTCCTGGCCTCTCCTTATAATCGACAACGCGCGGGCGTCTCCTTGGTGGCTCACCTCAACCAGCACCACTGTTTCCGACCATAGCCTACAAGGATAGCAAAAGGATTCATATCTTAAACAATGTAAACATAAGCACACCTAACAGTTCCTTAACACTTCCCTCACAGGTCCTAAGGAACAAAAGTCAAACTTGCCTAGGTCATTTCTAACCTAGGCTCTGATACCACCTGTGACAGCCCCACCTTCCCCTAAGGCGTACCAAAGGGGTTAGCGGACTGCCTGCCCAGCTCTCGCCAGGACTACTAGCTCGATTATGTACAATCTAAAACGTTCCGGAAGGTAATAGCGCGCTCAAACGAAACAAAACCGTGAAATGAAATGGAATATCAAAGCCTCACATGAACAGTGCCAAACACATTTATACATGTAAGGTTCCCAAATTACAACTCAAAATATAGTGTTACAATAAAATACATTTAGGTTTTCCAACCATCAAGGAGCTATACAAAAGTATATGAAACTAGCTCAACTCGGCTTCCAATTCACAGTTTTCAAAAGGTATTCACATCCCTGTAAGGAAAACAAAGGCAATGGAGTGAGCTTTCGCCCAATGAGGTACACTCATGCAGATCAGTAAGGTTCACATAAGCACAAAGTTGCTCAGTCCAACGTTCAACAAGTAATCCGAACTAACATTACATTAAATTCAGTAAAAGGATACGGGCGTCTCTCAAGAGCCCTCTTCCTCGCTTGCCGTACTTGATCTCGCCCCGTTGACCCTCCGTCAACGCTTAAAGAAGTAACCAATACCGTAGACCCCACTTTCGCCAATTTCCATCCACCTCACATACCCCTACCGGGCCCGAACTCTATTCAGTTTACAATGGTAATACTCGAGTATACCAGAATCAAGGGTCTCATACCCAATGATTCCATAAAACAGTCCCTACGGCTTATCAATCTCCTCGACCATGTCCTTGCTGGCTCGAGTCAATCGACTTCCAATAGGGTTGAGCTCAGAGTAAACAGTAAGAGTCGTTGGATACGTCCAAACGACCCCAATTCAAGTATATTCAAAGACATTCACTTGATACAGTAACAATCACATAGGCCATTGAGTGTAAGAGTGATAAAGTACACCCTTAATTCAACCAAGCTCATCAATACACACAAGCGTCCAAGCCATAGATTTCAAGTATAGCGAAACAATGAAGTAACAAGTATGTGAGTAATACACTCACCAATCAAGCAAGGAAAAGATTTCACAGATTGCGGTCCAACGAGCGCCTAGCGTCACCGGCATGCCCTAAACCATACAAGTAACCATAATGAGACCCGAATATGAGTCATAAACCGATTCTACAAACTACTATAAAAAGACCAAATAGAACGTATAAGTGCAAAATCAACTAGGGCATGTGCGGAAATAAAGTTTAGGTTGAAAAACAAAAAGGCAGATTTGCTGTTGTTTAGCGGAATTAACACAACTGAAGCTACGTTTGTCGGATTGAGGTGCAATATACACCGTTTCGAAGCTAAGAAAAAGGGTTACAATGTTGAAGAAGGCCACTCAGTCCAGTTTGTAATGTAACCAGGTCAAAATTTCACTGTACCAAACCAGAATTGCAGAAACAGGTTAGCTAACCGCATTCTGGTTAAATGACCGTAACTCAAGCTACCGATGTCCAAACGAGGTGATTCCAGGGGCGTTGGAAAGCTAAGACACCAGGCTATATTTTTTAAGACGATATTGACAACCAAATCAGTAGTATTCCCGGTCAACTAACCAATTACAGAAACAGATTATCAGTTTCAGACAGAAACAGGGCAGCAGGCGTATTTCAGTCTTTTCACAGGCTACGGTTCTCCGATTGGCCTGAAATTTTGTAGCCAACTATAAAACATCATTTTCTACAACTTTTATGTTTTAACCTAAGGCTAATTAAGCCTCTATCCTAGTCAAATAGTACCGGGCAGAACAGGGTTAATAGAAACCCTAATCTGAAATTTTTGCTTCAAACCAGAAATTTTCCACTAATCACTACAATTATCATACCAAAGCTTCATTCTAACCCATACTAGACCATCATACATGGCCAATCAACATTAAACATAGAAAAATAGAAAAATTATGCATAAAATCTAAAATTCATCAAACACCACCAAAAGTCATGAAAACCTCCACAAAATCACCTAACTAACCTTCACAAGTCATGAATTCATCATTATCAAAGCCAAAGATGGAAGTTCTTGGCTACTCACCTTGAAATCCCAAGAGTGGAAGCAACTTTACACCACTATCTTTCAACCCACTTCACCTAGTACTTCCCTACCACCTAGCTAAGGATTTTTATGGAGTGATTTGAAATTTTATCGGTTAAATTGTGAGATTGAGCAAGATTGAGTAGAAGAAATTTGATAGATTTTCTTTCTTTTGCTCTCCAAGAAACTCGGCCAAGAGAGGGAAAAATAAGAGGATTTTTGGCCAATTTTTGGTATTTCTTTGGTAAAGGTGGTAAGATGGTCTTATGGTCAAATTCTAAGTCCAATAGCAAAGTGACATTTGTCCCTCTCTTTAATGCTAGGTTATCCTTTTGTCTCTCCACTCTCATCCATATAACAACCTCTAACTAACTCTTAGTGATGTGAATCCCCGATCTAGACAACCAAAACACCATGGCTTAGGCAGCGGAAATTTGACCCAACTAATCCCTAGAAGTCACGAACTTGTTGATACTATCTCAACCCGTAACTACTCGAATTAACGAACATCCCTAGAAATCACGAACAATTTTGATATTATCTCAACCCGTGACTACTCGAATTAACGAACCAAATTGGAGGTAGTAGAACGCCACAATCAAGGAGACTACTTGATTGATAAGTTTGATGAACAACTTGAGAATGATTCTCAAGTATTCAAAGGAAATTCTCTTGAGGCAAGAGAGAGTGAAAAACTCACATATATTTTATAAAATCTGAATCGTTCTTTAATGAATGAAAACCTTGGCTATATATAGCCTTACAGGGCTCAAACCCTAGAATGTCCAATGGACGACCTTGCCCTTCATTAATGGTGACACTAAGTGCTTTAAGTGTCAAGGTTTTGGTCACATCGCGTCCCAATGCCCAAACCGAAGGGCCATGCTCATGCTTCCAAGTGGTGAAGTGCTAACGGATGAGGAGGATGAGTATGAAGGCATGCCACCATTGGTTGAGGAAGAAGAGATAATTGCCCCTGACCAACCAGTTGGACTAGGCCTTGTCACAAGGTTGGCATTGAGTGCTCAACGCACAAATGAAGAAGAGCAGCGTACCAACATCTTCTACACCCGATGTCTAGTTAACGGGAAAGTGTGTAGCTTAATTATCGACGGGGGAAGTTGTACCAATGTCGCCAGTGCCTTATTTGTCAAGAAGTTACACTTACCTGTCCAAGATCACCCTACACCATATAAGCTTCAATGGTTTAGTGATTGCGGCGAAGTGCGAGTGTCCAAGCAGGTTTCTGTGAAGTTTAACATTGGGAGATATGAGGATGAGTTGGTGTGTGACGTGGTTCCTATGCAAGCTGCCCATCTTATTCTTGGAAGACCTCGGCAATTTGATCGCGAGGTTACTTATGAAGGTCATTCCAACAAATACTCGTTCATGCATAAAGGGACAAGGGTCATACTTGTTCCACTCTCACCTACACAAGTTCGAGAGGACCAAAATGTTTTACAGAGGGAATGGGAGTTGGATCGATTAGAAGGCAAGGAAAGGAAAGGGCGAACATTGATCATGCTCGCTAAACCGGAGGACAACATCAGGCACTGGGAGTTGGATCGTTCCACCTTTGTGGTGTTTAACGTGTTTTCATTTGTACAGGTTGTACGTGGTCAGATATCCTTCCTCTTGCAGTGTGCAATACCCGCAACCATCGAGATCTGTGCAAGGAGTGCTGGTCCAGTAATTCCAACCAGCACTAGTCGGGTTACATTGGCCTTTGATGCCATTTTTGCACGTCTTGATGCGTACAACGCGCAGCCCAACCAAACCTTGGTTCACCGGGCGTCCGCTCACGGTCCACCCATAGGCTTGAGACGTCACTTGTGTGCCCATTATCATGGAACTCTTGCTGTCCGCAACATGTATCTACCACCACCACGAGTTTTCCTGGTGTCCCACAAGGGTGTCCTGATCTTTCTTCGCTTGAGAAGGCGACATGCAGGCTGCTTGGTGACTATACACATGCTCTCATCACTTTTGTTTTGTAAGAAGAGTCATGATTTGGGGACAAATCGCCTTTAAGAGGAGGGGAATGATGAGAATATAAAGACCAAGGCCCATTCAATGATGAGAATATAAAGACCAAGGTCCATTCCAGATTGGAAGATTCAAGTGAAGACTAGTTCGCGGAGTACTAGCTTGCTAATTTGGGTTTTAATTACCATTATTAGTTGTTTGTTAGCATTAATAATTTCGGTCAATTTTCCCTTCACTTTGGCCGAATTTAGAGTCTTAATTTTAGTTAATTAGTTGTTAGATATTTTCACCATTAATGAAGGGCAAGGTCGTCCATTGGACATTCTAGGGTTTGAGTCCTGTAAGGCTATATATAGCCAAGGTTTTCATTCATTAAAGAAGAATTCAGATTTTATAAAATATATGTGAGTTTTTCACTCTCTCTTGCCTCAAGAGAATTTCCTTTGAATACTTGAGAATCATTCTCAAGTTGTTCATCGAACTTATCAATCAAGTAGTCTCCTTGATTGTGGCGTTCTACTACCTCCAATTTGGTTCGTTAATTCGAGTAGTTACGGGTTGAGATAATATCAAAATTGTTCGTGACTTCTAGGGATTAGTTGGGTCAAATTTCCGCTGCCTAAGCCATGGTGTTTTGGTTGTCTAGATCGGGGATTCACATCAGCTGGTTGTCCGATGGTTGCGGGTATTGCACACTGCAAGAGGAAGGATATCTGACCACGTACAACCTGCACAAATGAAAACACGTTAAACACCACAAAGGTGGAACGATCCAACTCCCAGTGCCTGATGTTGTCCTCCGGTTTAGCGAGCATGATCAATGTTTGCCCTTTCCTTTCCTTGCCTTCTAATCGATCCAACTCCCATTCCCTCTGTAAAACATTTTGGTCCTCTCGAACTTGTGTAGGTAAGAGTGGAACAAGTATGACCCTTGTCCCTTTATGCATGAACGAGTATTTGTTGGAATGACCTTCATAAGTAACCTCGCGATCAAATTGCCGAGGTCTTCCAAGAATAAGATGGGCAGCTTGCATAGGAACCACGTCACACACCAACTCATCCTCATATCTCCCAATGTTAAACTTCACAGAAACCTGCTTGGACACTCGCACTTCGCCGCAATCACTAAACCATTGAAGCTTATATGGTGTAGGGTGATCTTGGACAGGTAAGTGTAACTTCTTGACAAATAAGGCACTGGCGACATTGGTACAACTTCCCCCGTCGATAATCAAGCTACACACTTTCCCGTTAACTAGACATCGGGTGTAGAAGATGTTGGTACGCTGCTCTTCTTCATTTGTGCGTTGAGCACTCAATGCCAACCTTGTGACAAGGCCTAGTCCAACTGGTTGGTCAGGGGCAATTATCTCTTCTTTCTCAACCAATGGTGGCATGCCTTCATACTCATCCTCCTCATCCGTTAGCACTTCACCACTTGGAAGCATGAGCATGGCCCTTCGGTTTGGGCATTGGGACGCGATGTGACCAAAACCTTGACACTTAAAGCACTTAGTGTCACGGTTTCTAGGTTTAGATGCCCCTAGATCTGCCTTAAATTCGGCCCTTTGGATCGGTTTTGAAGATGACGAACCAGCCACCCATGCTCCATTCGAAACCCCACTTGCCCTGGCTGACTTTTGTTCGCTCGTGTGGGTAAGCTCGCCTTTGTACGGTGGAGGTCTCCAATTTCCAGATTGGACGCTGGAGCTTTGGTGAGGAATACCCCTCCTCTTGAGCCTCCTTTCCACCTTGACGGCTTTGTCCAATAATTCATCCATGTCAAGATAATGTTGGAGCTCCACAACATCTGCAATTTCAGCGTGTAGTCCTCTCAAGAAACGTGCCACGGTTGCTTCTATATCCTCCCGAACATCAGCCCGTAGCATGGCCATCTCCATCTCCTTGAAGTAATCCTCAACTGTCAAACTTCCTTGGGTGAGAGTTTGCAATTTATGGTGCAAATCCCTGTGGTAATACGCTGGTATGAAGCGCTTCCTCATGATCCTTTTGAGTTCTTCCCATGTTCGGATAATTGGCTCTTCCTCCCTTCTTTGTTTGATGCGAAGTTGATCCCACCAAATAGAGGCATAATCCGTAAATTCAAGGGCTGCCAACTTCACCTTTTGAGACTCCGTGTAATGGTTACAATCGAAAATCAGTTCAATCCTCCTCTCCCAATCTAGGTATGCTTCGGGATCCGACTTGCCTTGGAAGGAAGGGATTTTAAGTTTAATCCCTTTTATTTCATCCTCCACAGGTCCAGTATCTCTCCTCGGTTTCCTTGGCTCATAGTCAAATTCACACTCAGAGTTAGAGTCATGAAGTTCAAGTGCAGGTCTATCACGGCTCCTTGGGTTTTGGTGACTTCGTCTAGAGCTACTTTGGAACTCCTCCAACCTGCCAAGTCGTTCATTCATGGCCTCAAATTTTTGATCCATAAGGCGCCCCAGTTCTCCTTTCAAACTTTCTGCCAAACGTGAGAAATCGAAGGCCGACGTACTTTCTCCTTCGTTCGACATATTCAACTGCAAGAAACGGTTAGCGAAAAAAATAGAAAAGGTACCTCACTTCACTCCCTCACGTGTTTCGCTCACCCTCGTGTATCACTCAAGTGTATCAACCGCTCTAATAATCTCACAAAGCTCTTCCCAAGTCACTCAAGTACTCCTCTTGAAGAAATAAAAATTTCCCCAATGTGTTCGCTCAAACCTTCACCAAGAATCAGAAACAATACTCTAAAACACACCAACAAATACCAGAATTAATTTCCGGAAAACAACGACAGAATTTATGGAAGTATGGACTTGACAATAGACGCAATGTAGAAGACTACACCAATTTGATGACTGGACTGATTTTTTTTTGTTTTTGGCCGCAACACAATTTTTTTTTTTTTTGACTTGATAATTGAAAACTTGAAGATGCGGCAATTAAAGAGAGTATCAACTAGACAGAAACAATACTGTATTCAGCAGCAACTAGACAATAACAGACAGCAAGGAACAAGGAAAACTAATGACAGGAACCTTTTTTTTTTTTTATTAAAACAACAAGGTGAAATAATGGTCAGCTAGAGTGTTCTTCGCTTGTGACTTGGCTGGCCGCCTTTTAAGTTGTGTATGGCCGACCAAAGCAGGCAACCAAATTTAATGCAACACAGCTTCAGCTAAGGGAAATATTTATGTATGGCCGACAAAAACAAGTAATCAGATTTCATGCAACTCAGGTTTCACTTGTCAAAGGGCCACTCGGATTTCATGCAAATCAGTTTTCATGCACTACTAATTTACACCAAATACCCTGTGGAATTGTTTCCAAACTCACGACTACCAAGATGGTTTCGCTTCCTAATCAAGGGTGAACCCCCAAACAGCCCAAGGCTCACGGATGGCAAGGAAAAACAAATTCTGGACAGCCCACAATGGAGACAAAGGAAACAACTCAGGTTTCTTGCACGACAAAGGAGACCAATCAGATTTCATGCAATTGCCGTTTACACCACTACCAATTTGTATTATGGCCGACCAAGAAAGGAAACAAAAAAAAACAATCAGATTCAGCAAATCAGATTCAGCTAAGGAATTCGGCTCTTGATTCGGCCAAGGGAAATCCAAACAGGCCACACACTTGCCAATTTTCTCCTCACAGCCCACAAAGCTCACAAATTATGAGTAGATAATTTCGGACAAGCAGCCGCTTCCCTCTCTCTCTCCTTTTTTTTTTCGTTTCAAGACGCCTCTAGAACAACCCTAATGACTCCCACGGACAACCCTCCAGTTGTGGCAGCCGCACACAAACACAACACGCACGATGGCAGATTCGACTCAAGACAACAAAAGAGAGACGCAAAACAGAAATTTTCACGTAAGGCCTGGAGGAAACAATTGCGGACTGACCTTGAACAGATTGTAGCCGCTTTCGGACAGAAAATTTGTCTCTCAACCACGACAAGCTACATCAAACTTGTGCGGACAGATTAGAGACACTTGAACAGATTTTTTTTTTTTTTTTTTTGGAATGAAGGCTCAAACGGACAGACCTGGACACGACTTCAACAACAAGGTGAGAAGCAAGTGCAGACAGAATTTAGTTCAACAACTCCACGACCAGAAATTTAACAATGACCAGAAAAAATTTTTTTTTGACACACGAGATCAGATTTAATAACAAACGAATATGACTCGAAACAAAGCGGAAAGGAAGGATATAACCTGATGGTTGTCGACTAGCTCTGATTACCAATTGATGTGAATCCCCGATCTAGACAACCAAAACACCATGGCTTAGGCAGCGGAAATTTGACCCAACTAATCCCTAGAAGTCACGAACAATTTTGATATTATCTCAACCCGTAACTACTCGAATTAACGAACCAAATTGGAGGTAGTAGAACGCCACAATCAAGGAGACTACTTGATTGATAAGTTCGATGAACAACTTGAGAATGATTCTCAAGTATTCAAAGGAAATTCTCTTGAGGCAAGAGAGAGTGAAAAACTCACATATATTTTATAAAATCTGAATTGTTCTTTAATGAATGAAAACCTTGGCTATATATAGCCTTACAGGACTCAAACCCTAGAATGTCCAATGGACGACCTTGCCCTTCATTAATGGTGAAAATATCTAACAACTAATTAACTAAAATTAAGACTCTAAATTCGGCCAAAGTGAAGGGAAAATTGACCGAAATTATTAATGCTAACAAACAACTAATAATGGTAATTAAAACCCAAATTAGCAAGCTAGTACTCCGCGAACTAGTCTTCACTTGAATCTTCCAATCTGGAATGGGCCTTGGTCTTTATATTCTCATCATTGAATGGGCCTTGGTCTTTATATTCTCATCACTTAGCACCTAGTAAATTAATCCCAATATCCCAAACTGAACCTAATTGGCCGAATTTTTCACACTAGCGGGTCCCACGTCCGGTATACACTCTTAATTTCTCAAAACCTAACCGATACTAGAAAAATAATCTAAAACCTATACTTACTCATAAAAATTATCTAGAAAAATTTTCCTACCAAAGAAAATGTAGAAAGGGCGTGCAATTAAATAAAATAAAACCTAGAAAATAAGAAAATTCACGGCCCTCACAGTTGGGCAGGCGGTTCGCCGAACCCTTTAATTAGCCTTAGGGTGAGGTGAGGTTATCACAACCGGATCCGAACGACAAGATAAACACGTGTGGTAATTCTCGAGCATACCGATTAGTCGAGAAAATAGCACTCCACTCAGCAAAACAAGAGACCCAGGGTTCATTATCTAATCGACCAGACCCTTGCTGGTTCGACTCGAGTAACTAGCCACAGGGTTTCTAGAATTCCAGAGAGTGCGCACATTATACACAAGTATATCAAGTCAATTGCAACAAATAAACAAATATATATCAAATTAGGGCAAGTGCGATAAAGTACATCCTTGTCCAACCAAACCAAGCAAATATTATCCAATAAAGTTCAATCATGTATTTGGAAGTACTTACCAAAGACTTAGTGCTTGTCAAAATCACGCTCAAGTACAACTCCTTGGTTGGAGTCCAAATTTGCGATAAAATATCATTTAAGAGTTTATAATCCACTAGGGTTCGAAACATAGGTGTTTCGCTTCAACAAAATTAAGTAAATGAAACTTATTTAAGTAATAGTTATATGGCTTGGCAAACTCTAGAAAATTCATGCTCGCTCTTTTAATTTCGATAAAGAAGTGATTTATACTTTGGAAGTCGCACTTGGTATGAAAATCGAGAAAATCGTATTTTTAAGGGTCGCTACTTTTACTTTTTAAAGGGTACGACTTTCGACAAAAATTTCATCTTATGTACCTCTTACTAAAGAAAACTCGAATACCATAAACAAGCGAAATTCGCTTCAATCTCGAGTTCACTTGCCTAACCCTCGAGAGAAAATTTGGGCAGCATACCCTTTGTATTTATCCATTTTTCCATCTAAATACAACTTGGATTCACAAACCATCAAACCTCCAATCCAACCACAAGTGATAATCAACAAAATATATCTATTCAAGGCCTCAAAGCCAACCAAACAAACCAAATAATAAACTTATCACCATGGATATCAAAGTTGGAAACCAGTTTAAAGAAGAACTTATAAATGGCAGATTTGTCATCCTTCGGTGTTTTGGTCATAACTGTAGTTAGGTATATCAGATCAAGGTAAATTTTATGGCATTTTGAAATTAAGACATAGACCTACATTTTCTATGAAGATATCGACACCCAATTCTCGCATTTTTAGGATGAAAATTGGACGAGTAGAAACATATGAAAAACAGGTCAGGAAAATTAGAGGTTTTGCGTAGTTGGGAGTGCTCTGGCCAAATCATAAGCTAAAATGATCCCATTGATCTGAAATTTTGCAGAACTCAAATCCCTATAGCTTTCATGTTTTGTCCAAAAGTTGATTCAGTCTAAAACATGGAGAAATTCGCAGCCTAAGTTGATTCCAAAAATATGGCTAAACTGACATTCACCACCAAATGCTGGAATTTTGCATATCAACCCTAAAACTACTCATCGAAGCTGAAAATTGCTTGACAAAACTGAAATTTCATCTTTTAACGCTAAATATCACAATCAAGCCACTTATCATCTCACAAATTTCATTTTCAAGGTCAATACCAACATATTAGAGATAAACATCATAAATCAAAATTGAAAAATTACAAATCTTAGATGAAATTCGCTAATCTTTACCAAAACTAGAGTATCATCCAACATAATTCAAGATTCAAAATATCTGTCTCATATTTTGCTAAAACAAGAAAGAAAAAGGAAGTTTTAGACTTATATCTTCCAAAACACTTGAAGAAAGTGAAGAACCAAGCTATTTCTCTCCAAACAACTCCACAACAAGCTTCTTTAGCTCCTTGGTGCTAGTTTAATCGGTTTAGTTTTGTGGTTTCAACTCAAACAAGGCAAGATTCAAGATTGGAGTTGGAGGTTTTCTCTCTTGTTTTTCTCTCCCAATTTTCGGCCAACACAAGAAGAGCATAAAGAAAAATGAACCAAGAAGAAAAAAAACTTGTTTGGTCAACCAACCCTTGGATCTTTGACACTTGTCAAAGCCAAGTTTTCTCCTTTTTTTTCCTTTTCCTCAGTCAACAAAGATGGCTGGATTAAGAGGTAATTTAAGGAGGATTAGACGAAATAAAAATAAGAAGATTAGGGTAAGAAAGTAGTGATCAAGTGATGTACTCAATCGATAACAAACGGTACACGTCGGCTCAAGATTATTTTCTTTAACTCGCTCGTACTTATGTTTTAACTTATGATTCACTAACTTATTAATAGCATTTCTAATCACACACTTTCTCTTATCTAAAACTCACTCTTAACCACCAAATTTAGTACACACATCTCACCAAGTGATCGCACGGCCAAAAATACGTAAAAATCCTAATTTACCCTAACTATAAAAGTAAAGATAAAACTCTCGATTTTATTATTTATTACAACTAGGGAGGGAGTAATTTAGTGGTAAAGATATTATAAAG